GCGTCACGATATCGAAGTCGGGAAGTGGTGGATCGTGAAACAGGACTCAGGATGACAAATTTGGGAGGTTAGGGTCAAAGTTCAAGATGTGTAACGCGAAGGGGGAATATTCCGCCTTGATCTTAAGGTATTAGGAGGAATACGGAATTGCCGCAACAAATCTTAATGGCCAACCTATGATCCCTAACCCTAACCCTAAACCTGCTCAAGGAGTCGTTGGATGCGAGATCCAATCTAGATTTTTTTATTTTACCACCTGTTTTCTGTATTTTTTCTATTCTTTATCCATTTAACTATTTTTTTCCAATTAATGCAAATATTACATGATTATTTTACCAACAATTAATGAACACACATAATTTTTATCAACACATTAACTTTTTTTTTTTTATAGGGTGTTAGTGGTCACATGCACGCTATAAACAGGAGTTTCAGGCAATGCAATTATTGTACTCAACCAATGGAATTTAGGGAGGTATGCCAGAATGCAGAAGGTTGCTGAAATGAGTGTGTACGCAATGCGTATCTCAATTTGCATATCTGCGCCTAACAAAGGTGTCACTACGCACCGACTTAAATGTTACGTTTAAATCATAGCCAACAACCTCAGATGACACCAGACGCTCTGCAGCTCTTGTTTGTGATATATCAATCGTAGGCAATTACATTAAAATCTAAAAAAATCAATCGAAATTATGATTTTGTGATGAATTTAGGGTACAGTCTCCCAATTCTCCAGTGTTTCCTTAAAATGGTGGGGTGGGTGGGGGTCCCAGGTGCAGCGGGGTCAGTGTGGGAGGCAGGGTGAGAATGAGGTGACATAGCTGCTGCCGTGCTACACTTACCTGCATTTCACATTCACACGGAACAAAGTCCCTCTAGACATTTTTGGGGAGTTTTTTTTGCACGATTTTGTCGCCTAAGAGGTAGTTCGCACATAGTTTGCACGTCAAGATAAATAAAGTTGTTCCCTAAGTGTTTTTTTCCCGCGGGCAACAGCCGGGTACCGGCTAGTTATATATAGTATTTTCCTGCCGAAAATCAATGTCAATTTTATAACTGAAATTTCAACTTAAAATGTCTTTTTAAAAGGTTGCTTAATTCGCATTCGTACTACAACCATAAATATTGCATTATGTAGGTCCCTCTAGGCCAATGTAAGCAATCTAGCCCTCTATGCAATTTTCAGGAGTAAATAATCAAATTTGCTGATTATTTTGTGATATTTACGTCCTGAAATTCCGGCAAGCATGTGGCCAGCATGGTGGCCCCAGATGTCCAGCTTCTCATTCCAGGATATTCGAAATAGAGGAAAAATAACGCGAAGGAATGCCTAATCATTTGTATATGTGTTTTAATGATAATGCGTGCAATGCGTAGTTGCACTCACTGCAGGAGAAAACGTTGAAGGACCCAGAGGAGCGGCAGGAAAGCTGCAGAGATATTCTGAGCTGCGTACTGCTTAGATGACAGGGAGAAGGGACTCGCAGCGACATAGTCACCACAGCTCCAACCGAACAACGTCACGACGAGAGCTAGCCAAATGCACCAAGTATATCGACGATGTATATCTACTTGGTTAGTTACTGATTGATAGTAGAAGTTTAGTTGTAAGCTGCACGATTTTGCATGGATTTCATGTTTGCAAACTATGTGGATTCTTGATCGGATAATCTGCATGATATCATGGGTGCATTAGCCAGCATTATCTAATTTAAATTATAATACCATTGTATGTTACATGCAATTAGTACGCGTTGATATAGTAATTAGCGAAACTTTATTATAGTAACTGCATAAAGCTTGATATGTAAATATTTAACACTAACAAGTCTTATATATTGCTGATGGATCAGTTTCATTCTTACCAGCCCTATTATGCCTCTCCTCGTCTCCTTTCAGTATGTCTGTGCTTGTCAGAATCCTAGTTCTGGATTTCATTGACATTTCTTTCTTTATTTGCAGATGGGGAGGTTAAGAACGGATAAAACACTAGTAAGGACATAGAGAGCACGTCCATGAAAACACGGACTGACTGATGTAAGAGTGTAAAGACCAACATTTGAAAGAGACGTCTATCAACTGCGCAGGGACAAAAGTTGCTTGTGGATCACGTGGCTGAGCTACAGAGCAGGGTAGGTATATGAGAGCCATATGTATACAAGTCGTGAGCAAAAACTAATACGTGCGCGTGTTTAATGAGTGTATATGTGTTTTTGCTGATTCCGAGAAAGTGCTCAGACAAATTAAAATGAGAGATGATTTCTATTATCAGTTAGATCTTTTCTTCCTGTAGATGGCGCCTATAGCTCACTTAAAAAATAGTGATAACATAATTCTTTTGTCAACGTTAATTTTTTATACTTTATGCTATATATATCCTTTTTGTGAGCAATAATAAAGTTAGAGAAATTAACTAGAGAATTGAATTGATGTTTAATCTTTTTTGTAGTCACCTGCACCCAAACATTCATAATTATTTAATAATATGTCGGGTTGCGTGGTTGTTAAAAACAATTTCAAGAGGCTAATAATACATGATAAGGCTATTATATTCTCTTCAACACATACTTTGCTATTATATATTTATTATTTATCTTTTCAAAAAAATTATTACTCAAATAGATACGTCATTACGAATCGATTAAAATGACTCTTTTTTTCCCCCAGCTGTTTCCGATGCCGACAGATCAAAACGCAAGACGACCACGATTCTTCGGCTGAAGGCAGAGATGCACGCGCTGCAGAGTCGCATTTCTCCGCTGACGGACAGAGAACAGATGCAGCGATCGATGCAGACCCAGAAGTGGAGGAGTTTGAGAAGCTCGCGAGGGCATTAAGAACCTCAGTCCCGATGACGCATCAGTCGTCGAGCGACAAGAAAAGAGCACGCCTTTCTGATGACTCGTCCAGTCGTCGAGGAAAGACAAGAGCACGCCTTTCGGATGACCTCGGTCCAGTCGTTCGAGGAAAGACAAGAGCACGCCTTTCGGATGACCTCGTCCAGTCGTCGACGGAAAGGACAAGAGCACGCCCTTTCTGATGACCTCGTCCAGTCTCGAGGAAAGACAAGAGCACGTCCTTTGATGACCTTGTCCAGTCGTCAAGGAAAGACAAGAGCACGTCCTTCGGAGACTATCGTCCGTCGTCGAAGAAAGACAGAGCACGCTCTTCTGATGATCTTGTCCAGTCGTTGAAGAAAGACAAGAGCACGTCCTTTGAAGACCTTCAGTCGTCTATGAAGGACAAGGCAACTACTTCTGATGTCCTCATCTAGACATCCAGGTAGGAAGAAGCACAACTCTTCTAATGACCTCGTCCAGTCATCTTGGGAAGGAGAAGGGTGTGCCCTTCTGATTGACCTCCTTTAGTCATCCAGGAAGGACAAGGGCATTCACTTCTGATGTCCTCATCCAGTCTTCTAGGAAGGATTAAGGGTGTACCACTTCTGCATGACTTTTTTCAGTGATCCAGGAAGGGCAAGGGTGTGCCCTTCTGATGACCTCTTCAGTCATCTAGGAAGCACAAGCGTCATCTAATTATGATGACCTCATCCAGTCATCCAGTAGGAAGAGAGCACACTCTTCTAATGACCTCTCAAGGCGCAGGGCATGACCTTCTAATGACCTCCTTCAGTCACATCTAGAAAGAGACAAAAGCCACCCTTCTGATGAGATCTTCCAGTCATCCAGGAAGAACAAAGCACACCCTTCTGATGACCTTTAGTCATCCAGAAGGATAAGGGTGTGCCCTTCTGATGACCTCCTTCAGTCATCTAGGAAGCACAACGGCAATGGCCTTCTGATGAGAGTTCTTCAGTCATCCAGGAATGACAAAGCGCACACCTCTTCTGATGACCTCCATTTAGTCATCCAGGAAGAACAAAAGCACATTTTCTGATGACCCAGTGCTTTCTCTGTGTCTATGCCACATCAGTAGACATAAACGTTGTGCGTTCGTGCATGACCGTGCATGTTTAAATCTCGTTGGCATTTTTGAGAGAGTTTGTGAAACACTTTAATGAAATGCTGGTGGGGCTAACGGCGCAGGGGGAGGGGGGTCTATGGAGGCAGGGTAGCTCGACATGAAGACAGACAGGTGTCTGAATTGGGCATGTGACACACCTTGAGCATGCTCTAGAACCGACAGGGGTGTGATGTCCAGAGGTATTTAGTACTAAAGTGATGCGCGAAATAAGGTTGTTATATTAGGACACTGTTTAAAATTATTGTATTTTAATTTCAGTTGCTGTGCACTTTCCTTCCTGTCCTGTGACTTCCGTACCGCACATATAATTCGTTTAGATGTACCGCGACATAATTTGTGCGCAAGATGCCTACTGGCATCGGGTATCAAATGCGTTTTATCTGTATATTACATCAAGAGTAGATAAACCATGATGTATAGAACCAAGTCAAGCAAAGAAGAAATACAATGTTAGTTAAGAGGTTTGTTTAGTGTTAGAAACCACTTTAAGTGTTTTGATCTAATAGTTCGTTCTAGTTTATCTGGTACAGGTCCAAGAGAGAAAAGGATAAAGCACACAATCCGTCCAGAGGCGTATAATCAAGTTGATTTATATGCTCTGATCCGTCATGAACTGGTTTGCACTCACGTGGGTTTTCTATCTAGCTTCATCTGAAATTTTTAAGAATTTTGTTAATGCTCTCCCCCTCGCGAGCGCGCCCCCGTATGTCCAGTTCCCTGTGTCGCTGTGTCATAGCTGTGATGTGTCGTGTTGTGGCTGGTGCATGTTAGAATGTGTTTCGTGTGATGGAATCACTCGCCTGGGGTGTGTGTTGCTGTGCTGCGCCACCTGTGTGCCTCGTGCTGCTGTGTTCGTGTCTGTGTGTGTTTTGTCCGGTGTGTTGTTTTGTGTGTGTGGTTGCGTGCGTGCTCGTGTCATGTGCGTGACTTGCGTTCTGCGTGCGTGCCCCCATTACGACCGGGGAACGTGCGCTGCGGACACACACACACACACACACACACACACACACACACACACACACACACACACACACACACACACACACATACACACATACACACACAAACAAAGTGACATATGCGCGTGCAGGCATGCATTAACAAAATGTAAAAATTTTCAATGACTAGATAGAAAACCCACTGAACGTGCAAATCCAGTTCATGGACGGATCAGAGCATATAAATCAACTTGATTTATACGCTCTGGACGGATTGTGTGCTTTATCCTTTTCTCTCTTGGACCTGTACAGATAAACTAGAAGCTATTAGATCAAAACACTTAAAGTGGTTTCTAACACTAAACAAACCTCTTAACTAAATTGTATTCTTCTTTGCTTGACTTGGTTCTATACATCATGTGTTATTATCTACTCTTGATGTATATACAGAATAAAACGCATTTGATACCATGCCAGTAGCATCTTGCGCACAAATTATGTCGCGTACATCTAAACAAATTATATGTGCGGTACGGAAGTCACAGGAACAGGAAGGAAAGTGCACAGCACTGAAATTAAAATACAATACATTTTAAACAGTGTCCTAATATAACAACCTTATTTCGCGCATCACTTTATTACTAAATACCTCTGGACAATCACACCCCTTCGTGTTCTAAGCATGCTCAGGTGTGTCATCATGCCCAATTCAGACACCTGTCTGTCTCATGTCGAGCTACCCTGCCTCCATAGACCCCCCTCCCCTGCGCCGTTAGCCCCACCCACATTTCCATTAAAGTGTTTCACAACACTCTCAAAATGCCAACGAGATTTAAACATGCACGCATGCACGAACGCACAACGTTTATGTCTACTGATGTGGCATAGCACACAGAGAAGCACTGGGTCATCAGAAAATGTGCTTTTGTTCTTCCTGGATGACTAAATGAGGTCATCAGAAGGGTGTGCCTTTGTCATTCCTGGATGACTGAAGGACCTCATCAGAAGGCCATGCCGTTGTGCTTCCTAGATGACTGAAGGAGGTCATCAGAAGGGCACACCCTTATCCTTCCTGGATGACTAAAGGTCATCAAAAGGGTGTGCCTTTGTTCTTCCTGGATGACTGGAAGATCTCATCAGAAGGGTGTGCTTTTGTCTTTTCTAGATGACTGAAGGAGGTCATTAGAAGGTCATGCCCTTGCCCTTAGGAGGTCATTAGAAGAGTGTGCTCTCTTCCTACCTGGATGACTGGATGAGGTCATCAGAATTAGATGACCTTGTGCTTCCTAGATGACTGAAGGAGGTCATCAGAAGGGCACACCCTTGCCCTTCCTGGATCACTGAAAAAAATCATCAGAAGTGGTACACCCTTATCCTTCCTGGAAGACTGGATGAGGACATCAGAAGTGAATGCTCTTGTCCTTCCTGGATGACTAAAGGAGGTCATCAGAAGGGCACACCCTTCTCCTTCCAAGATGACTGGACGAGGTCATTAGAAGAGTGTGCACTCTTCCTACCTGGATGTCTAGATGAGGACATCAGAAGTAGATGCCCTTGTCCTTCCTAGACGACTGAAGGTCATTCAAAGGACGTGCTCTTGTCTTTCTTCGACGACTGGACGAAGTCATCCGAAGGACGTGCTCGTCTTTCTTCGACGACTGGACGAAGTCATCCGAAGGACGTGCTCTTGTCTTTCCTCGACGACTGGACAAGGTCATCCGAAGGACGTGCTCTTGTCTTTCCTCGACGACTGGACAAGGTCATCCAAAGGACGTGCTCTTGTCTTTCCCCGACGACTGGATGAGGTCATCCAAAGGGCGTGCTCGTCTTTCCTCGACGACTAGACGAGGTCATCCGAATGACGTGCTCTTGTCTTTCCTCGACAACTGGACAAGGTCATCCGAAAGGCGTGCTCTTGTCTTTCCTCGACGACTGGACGAGGTCATCAGAAAGGCGTGCTCTTTTCTTTCCTCGACGACTGGATGCTCATCGTGCGACTGAGGTTCTTCATGCCCTCGGCGAGCTTCTCAAACTCCTCCCACTTCTGGGTCTGCATCGATCGCTGCATCTGGTTCTCGTCCGTCAGCGAGGAGATGCGACTCTGCAGTGCGTGCATCTCTGCCTTCAGCCGAAGAATCTGGTCGTCCTTGCGTTTGATCTGTCGGCATCGGAACACGCGCGGGGAAAAAAAGAGTAATTTTAATCGATTCGTAATAGACGTATCTATTTGAGTAATAATTTTTTTTGAAAAGATAAATAATAAATATATAAATAGCAAAGTATGTTATTAAGAGATAATAATACCTATCATGTATTATTAGCTCTTGAAATTGTTTTAACAACCATGCAACCCGACATATTATTCAAATAATTATGAATGTTTGGGTGCAGGTGATACAAAAAAAGATTAGAACATTCAATTCAATTCTCTAGTTAATTTTCCTAACTTTATTATGCTCACAAAAAAGATATATATAGCATAAAGTATAAAAAATGAACAAGTTGACAAAAAAATTAGTTATCACTATTTTTCAAGTGAGCTATAGGCGCCATCTACAGGAAGAAAGCGATCTAACTGATAATAGAAAATCATCTCTCATATTTAATTTGTCTGAGCACTTTCTCGGAATCAGCAAAAACACATCATACACTCATTAAACACGGCCACGTATTAGTTTTTGCTCACACTGTATACATATGGCTCTCATATACCTACCTGCTGCTGTAGCTCAGCCACGTGATCCACAAGCACACTTTTGTCCCTGCGCAGTTGATAGACGTCTCTTTCAATGTTGGTCTTTACACCCTCTACATCAGTCAGCCGTGTTTTCATGGACGTGCTCTCTATGTCCTTACTAGTGTTTATCCGTTCTAACCTCCCCATCTGCAAGAAAGAAAATGTCAAATGAAATCCAGAACTAGGATTCTGACAAGCACAGAATACTGAAGGAGACGAGGAGAGTGCATAATAGGGTTGGAAGAATGAACTGATCCATCAGCAATATAAAATTGTTCAAGTGTTAAATATTTTACATACAAGCTTTTTGCAGTTCACTAGTAATTAAAAGTTTTCTAATTACTATATTCAACGCTTATAATTGGCATGTAACATAAATGGACATTAATTTAAATTAAGATAATGCTGCTAATGATCACCCCATGATCATCATGATTATCGCATCAAGATCACATAGTTTGCAAACCATGAAATCCATTGCAAAACGTGCATGTTACAACTATCTACTATCAATAGTATAACAACCAATGTAGATATACATCGTCGATATACTTGGTGCATTTGCTCCTCTCGTCGGTGACTTGTTCGGTGAGCTGTGTGACTTGTCGCTGGAGGTCCTTCTCCCTGTCTCTAAGCAGTACCAGCTCAGATATCTCTGCAGTTCTCCTGCCCTCCTGCTGGTCCTTCAACGTTTTCTCCTGCAGTGAGTGCAACACGCATTGCACGATTAATACATTAAAACACATATACAAATGATTAGGATTCCTTGGTTATTTTTCCTCTATTTGAATATCCTGGAATGAGAAGTGACATCTGGCGCCACCATGTGGCCACCATGCTTGCGAAATTTCAGGAGTAAATAATCACAAAATAATCACAAATTTGATTATTTACTCCTGAAAATTGCATAGAGGGCCTAGATTGCCTTTACATTGCCTAGAGGGACCTATACATAATGCAATATTTATGTTGTTATGTACGAATGGAATTAACAACTTTAAAAAACATTTTAATTGAAATTTCAGTTATAAAACTTGACTTGATTTCTTGCAGGAAATACTATATATAACTAGCCGGGTACCCGGCGTTGCCCGGGGAAAAAACACTTAGGAACAACTTTATTTATTTTGGGTGCAAATATGGCGAACTACCTCTTAGGCAAAATGTGCAAAAAAACTTCCCAAAAATGTCTAGAGGGATTTGTTCCTGGGGTGAAATGTCAGGTAAGTGTAGCAGGCAGCAGCTATGCACCTCTTTCACCCTGCCCCCACACTGACCCCTGCACTGGACCCCCACCCACCCCACCATTTTAAGAAAACTGGAGAATGGGAGACTGTACCCTAAATTCATCCAAAATCATAATTTTCATTGATTTTTAGGATTTAATGTAATTGCCTACATTGATATCTCAAACAAGAGCTGCAGAGCGTCTGGGCTCATCTGAGGTTTGTTGCTATGATTATAAACGTAACATTTAAGTCGTGCGTAGTGACACCTTTGTTAGGCGCAGATATGCAGATACGCAGTTGCGTACACATCATTTCAGCAACCTTCTGCATTCTGCATACCTCCCAAATCCCATTGGTTGATACAAATTGCATGCCTGAAACTCCTGTTTTATGGTGCATTGTGACCCTAACCCTATTAAAAAAAAAAAAAATTAATTGTTGTAAAAATTATGTGTTGTTATTAAATTGTTGTAAATAAATCATGTAAATATTTGCATTAATTGGAAAAAAAATAGTTAAATGGATAAAGATAGAAAAATACAGAAAACAGGTAAATAATAAAAAATCTGATGGGATTCGATCCAACGACCTTTGAGCAGTTAGGGTTAGGGTTAGGGTCATAGGTCGAGCCATTAAGATTTGTGCCGCAATTCCGTATTTCCTCCTATACCTTAAGTCAAGGGGGAAATATTCCCCCTCCGTTTACACATCTTGAACTTTGACCCTTAACCCCCAAATTTGTCATCCTGAGTCCTTTTCACGATCCCCCTTCCCGACGTTCCGAATATCGTGACCGTACGTCGAGCGGTTAAGATTTGTGCCCAACTGTTGACGGACGGACGGACGGACGCACGGACAATCATGCGATTCTACAAGCTGCATCTGACTTCGTCAGATGAGCTAAAAACCCTGTCAAATCTATACTTCACCTTCTATCTATAGTTCACCTGCTAAATGACTGAAACATGACATTTTTATGCCATATCCATCCCAGTTGGAAAGAATACTTAATTCCTTATCATTATAATTATCATAATATAATAAATACACAAACCTCATATCAAACCTAAATGCGTCAGCATTTCTGGCTTAACGCACTGCTCAGTCTACGTTGATTTTCTTTACATATATTAACTGCATATATTAACTTATACAGTAAACAGCGTAGACCGTATACACGCAGTGGACAGTGCTTCACCAGCACTCTCACATGTACAACTGACTCGCTGCCAATCGAGAAACACCAGATTACGCCTGAGCTCAAAACGGAAGCCGTAACCTGCCAGCATTTCTGGCATAATGCACTGTACTGTTAGTGCACGTTGATTTCCTTTACATGCGCGCTATCGCAGAACATGCAACATGAAATGCAGAATCCCAACATGCATTGTGCGCTACGACAACAACCGCCACTTCGAAGGGTTCGTACTTTTAATATATTACTTGCTTTGAAATCCTTTACCGTATCCTTTTAAATGTGCTCAGGCCACCCTAACAGTGATCAACTAACAGTGTGGCAATTTTGGGGGTCCTAAACCAATAAATGGCAGAATGCATAGACATAGTTCGTTTTTGTTTGTTTTTGTTTTTGTTGTTGTTGTTGTAGTTACTAAACTGGAAAAGTTCAATTTGAGAAATGATTTCTATTAATTATTAATTTTCCTTCTCGTTTAGATATAAAACACTCTACAGCTACTACTACACAATGCATCTGTGTTTTAGAAGTTCTTTGCAACATATTTTACATAATATTCTTCTGCCTATAATACTGATGTACTACCTTACCAAATCTCTTGTTTTCTGCAGTTCCAAAAGTTGAGAGGCTAAAGAAGAATTTTCCTTTATCAAAGAGGCTTTATCATCTCCAATCTGAAACATGTTATATAGTACTACTTAGCACAGAATGTTGTTCCTACTAAATATATCCTACTAATTTGGGATAATTCCTCAAATATTACAGTATTCTAGTAAAAACTCAAGTGTCACCTTAGCTGAAATTATGTAATTGTTTTGATAACAAAACCATTGGTGTTGGATAGACATGTTTCCTACCTTGCTACGTAGGTACCTTTCTTGATCTGCACTCATCTCTGCCTCTTTTAACTTGTGCTTTACATACCGGATTTCTTCCTGTCAAACAATTATATAAAATGGCATAATTTAGATAAATTATTTCCGGGATAGTCGACCGATATGATTCAAACATGTGTGTGGGTGAAATTATAACAAGCTATTATAGCAGCAAATTAAGTTTGACAAAGAATAATTGCAACTTAAAATCTGATTAACATGTTAACCAAGATCTCACGTCTCAAGAGTCAAGACGCAAGAACGTTTCCTTAGTCAAGTGTAGTAGACATATAGGTATTTTTATGAGCAATTTGTCCACTGGTATATTCATAGTTAGAGAACTTACAGTGCACAAGTCACTCAGGTAACTGTAGGTCTAAGGTAAGCTATAATTACCAGGGACACTTGTAGGTCTTTAGCAAATATCCGGAGATACGATATAGTTTCTTAGTTAGCCTACGGATGCCACCATGGCACCCTTGTAGGTGCCCAGTGTTATGTGCTGTTACATACCCGTAGATCTTTAGTGGCAGCTTCCTGAACGGACACGGTACTGCTGTAGAATTTGTCTTCCATCTCTCTTATGGAAGACTCCTTCCTGAGCACTTCCACTCTCTTTTCCTCCACCAGCAGCTTAGCCTTATTTAGCTGATCTTCAGTCTGCAGAATCTATAAGACATATAGACGGATAAGCACTAACGGGAACGGATTAATTCCAACAAACAGGTGGTTAAAAAAGGACAAACCATAGTATGATACATACAGTAGGTATATTCCCACGGCCCAAGTCCTGGTTGGATTATTGATTTGCAGTGTGGGAAACAGTCTTGCAGGTAGCACATCCAGTACCCTGTTACTCTGAGTGCATTATCTGACCCACTCATCACTCCAAACGGGTTCTATGCAACAATTTGATTTTCACAAGCGCAAAAATCTTATTGGCTCTAATATTCAATCGGAATAATGTAATTCCATTTGTTTATCAGCACAAACAGCAAGCCATGACACCCGTTACATGCGCGATCCCTGCACAGTCATGCATCAGGTTCTGTGATAGCTGAAGTGCATAAATATTTAATGATTTAAGATGCAATTTGGTAATTGAAACACCACAAAGCGATTTTCGAGAAGTCGCTGCGTGCGTATAATCTCTGACGTATCTCGACTCTATTGTCTGCGATGACAAATCGTCGAGTGAGAACAATTCACATGCCTGCATTACGATCACTGCAAAGGTAGCCTTCGGAGGAATTATCTAGATTGCAAACTGGCCACATGCAAAAGCAGTTTCGAATCAGTAATGTGATTGTCAGTCTACACGCACAATCGACAGGGAACCACTCATATTAGATGATGCATGAGTCACTAGGGGGCACACCAATAACAGGGCAATTGTCTTCACTTTGTATCGATACGAGCACCAGAGAGTGCAAGTTACACGAAAGTCACGCGATGTTGTTCCAGTAAAGCATTGTGGCCACACATCCATGGCTCGAATTTCACCACACCACCAACAGCAAGTGCTGTGGTTATCCTCCTTACTTGTCCTGGTACCTCGAAAATCTTGCAGATATTCATGGTAATAATTGCCATGGCTGTTCTTACATACTTTTTCTGATCCATTCTCACATGTTGTATATGTACATATCACTCCCTGTCTTATATAAGTGTTGATAAAAAATTATTTGCTCTGGTGCCTCTCTGATGAAGGAAATATTCTTAATTCAACGTGGCATGGTTTCCTAAGTTTAAAAAAAACCCAAGGTAACACCCACATGCAGCTTCATACAGATGATCTAGTATACCTGGTTTCAGAACACCATTGAACGAAAACTCCAAACACCCATTCGAAATGCGAATGTGAACATGTCCAACAAATGAAAGCCGAATTCTATTCGGTCGCCGAGTGGAAAGTAACACGTAATCCGATTAGTCATAAAAGCACTCAAGATTTCCCGATTCCAATTTCAAATGAGCCTTAATTCTATGCTTTCGTATGTGGTTGTGGAACAACTCTAGCTGTACCAAGTGTTAGCTACGCGAGAATTGATTGATTCCGTATTATTGAGGTGACATGGGCACACAACCACACACAAGTTACATCTCATACCTGATAGATTTTGACTTCAATATATGAACACGCAAAATCCCTCGAATTTAGGGGAAACCTTTTTAGAGAACAAAAGATCTTGACTATTCTCGAAAGCTTTGTGTAAAGATGGGCTATTAAAATGTCTACCTCCAGGTGGCTACACCTGTACCAAGTCAGCAAATTTTTCTGCTTAACACACAACTGCACTTAAGCATCTTTTCTCATCAAGTCAGCTCTCAGCTGTTCAATATTCCTCTCTCCATATCCTGCACAATGTGTTATATATATACGCTAGTGCAGATCAGTGGTTACGTTTCACTCGGGAGGAGGGAGAGGGGAGAGGTGGGCGGGCAGCTGGTTACATTTACATTACCAGTTTACGTTTATGGTTACGTTTTTCTCCGAGAGGTGGGCGGGCGGGTACCTGGTTGCGAAACACCTCTGCCTTGTGTTCGCTGCTCTGCAGTGACATCATCTTCTGCTATATACACTAGTGTAGATCAATGGTTACATATTATATATATATATATTATTATACGCTGGTTACGTTTCTCGTTACCTGGTTGCGAAACACCTCTGCCTTGTGTTCGCTGCTCTGCAGTGCGATCGTCTTCTGCTCGACCACGGCCTGAAGGTCAGAGATCTGATTGTCGCGACGCGCCATCTCTTTCCGCTGCATCTCCATCTGCTTCTTCATGTCGATGATCTCCTCCACCATCATCCGCTTACTGCGCGTCTTGTCATCTGAAACAACAACAACAGTGTTCGCACAAGGAATGGCAATGACAAAAACAGCAACATGACAATGCCAGTGTAAACAACAACAACAACAATAACAACAACAACAAAAACATGACACCATCATCCGCTTACTGCGTGTCTTGTCATCTGAAACAACAACAACAACAGTACGTGTTTGAACAGAAATGGCAATAAGAGAAACAGCAACAGTGTTCGTACGGGGAACGGCAATGACAGAAACAACAACATGGCACCATCATCCACTTACTGCGTGTCTTGTTGTCTGGAAAAACAATAGTTTTCGCACAGGGAACGGCAACGATAAAAACAGCAACATGACATTGCCAGTGTAAACAACAACAACACCAACAAACAAAACAACAAAAGCCACAGCTATTTTTATTCTACAACTCCTATAAACATGTGTACTCAAATAGCTGGTATTATTCAAGTACAATATAATTACAATTAAATTTTGCCTGCAGTGACTACAGTGTGGGCTTATCATACTGAATGTACGCATGCACGCACGCACGCACACACACACACACACATATATAAATTAATTAGCTGACATAGATACCAACAGGTAAGAAATTACTGTCATGCATCATTTACATAGTTGTACAGCATGCAATACAGGGTTCATACATCTAAGGCAAAACGTTTTTCAGTTTTCCGGATCTTAAAAAGGTCAATATTCCACGACCATGAGGTTGTGGCCGATTACAATCTTTGAGCCTTTGCCAATTGATTATGTCACCCACGCTCTTAGTAGGCCTAAACAAACTCTGCATAAATAAAATTTTACTGCCTCGCAGGCAAGATACACACCAGCTGCTCACTTTCAAAGATTTATTTAAGACCAAAAGATGCATGTGAACACTCTGTAAAGGTTCGGGTGAAAAGAGGCTATTGCATGTCTAGCTACCTTCAGATACCTTGACCTTATCGAGTAGGCCAAGTTTTTCTCCTTCAGACAACTCCAGTTGAGTATCTTTTCTCCTCAAGTCGGCTCTCAACTGGTCAATTTCCCTCTGCATATCCTGAAAAACATGTTATTTCTACGCAATAGTATAAATCGTTATAATCGTTATACATGATTAATTAAAGAGTGATAGATACACTGCTTAGTAAGATTTACACCTCCTGACAAAACCTTGATGCAAACGTGAAGTGAAATGAAAATTCGCCACCTGACTTACGATAGAATAAACTGCTTACATCGGTGGTTCAGCCACTTAATTTCAAGAACCCTCGTAACCGACCAACCGGGAAATGCTAACCTAAGGAAAACCTAGATTGTCGCAAGATTTCGAAATGAATGGTGTATATTGCATATATGTGCACGTACCCTGAGTTTACTGAGCATTTTCTCAGCCTCTGCCGTCATGACAGGATGAAGACTGGACGTCCTGTTAGCCAGCTCTCTCGTGCACAATCACCGTAAAGGAACACAACCATAAACTGCGTTTGCTTATCCTACATGAACGGTAAAGAATGGCAACCATGCAGCTCTCTCTCTCTCTCTCTCTCTCTCTCTCTCTTTCTGTCTCCCTCTCTCGTTTTCCCTTCCTCCATCTATTTCTCTTGCTATCTCTCTCTCTATCTCTCTCTCTCTCTCTTCCTCTCTCTCCCTGCTTTCACTGTCTCCCTCTCTTGGTCTCCCTTCTTCCATCTATTTCTCTTGCTATCTCTTTCTCTATCTCTCTCGCTCTCTGTCTCCATCTATCTCGCACGCTCTCTCTTTCCCTATCTCTCTCTTGCTCGCTCTCGCTCTCTCCTTTTCTCTCACTACAATCCATCAGGAATATGTTGCCCATTATTAGCATAGCAGTGGAAACAATGGTTCGGACTAAATAGCCGGTTAAGCCCGCCGCACACGCTGTGGAACTTGCTGCGCGATCGTCCACACGTGGAAGATGGCGCAGCAAGTTCCACATCGTGTGCGCATGCAAAATCCCTCGATCTGCGTCGTGTGGAAAATATCACACGTGTTTTATATTTTCTTCCACGTGTGGAAGATTAAACAGCGTGTGAGGAGTGGCTGTGTAAATTTCCACACTCAATTCGCATTGTTCGCTTGATTGTTCGCTTGGACGCATTGTATTTTTTTCTCAGCTCGCAGCTCGCAGCTCGCATATCAGGCAGCTCGCATAGAGGCATGTCCAAGAACTGATCGATCAAACGTCGTGTGAACGCTCTCTTCAACGACGCTCCGTGTCCAAGCGAACAATCAAGAACAATGCGAATTGAGTGTGGAAATTTACACAGCCACTCCTCACACGCTGCTCAATCTTCCACACGTGGAAGAAAATATCAAACACGTGTGATATTTTCCACACGAAGCAGATCGAGGGACTTTGCATCCGCACACGCTGTGAAACTTGCTGCGCCATCGTCGTCCACGATGGCGCAGCAAGTTCCACAGCGTGTGCGGCGAGCTTTAGGCTCATCATCCTTGATCAGTAATCCATCGATACCTCTACCAGCAGAATGGGCTAAGATATCTTTGCCTTATTAGGAATGTACTGTCAAAACCTTTATCAAACAAATTTGAGACCTTGCAGCATAAAAGGATATAAGAAGCTGACTTCGAGTTCTAAGAAGTAGATCTGTTGTTGTAGATTCTTTATGTACTCCACCTCAATGTTGCTGGTGTCGATTTTACTGCAACAATAACATATTGCAGGTATGACGTCAGACATAAGAATCACAAAACATTTTGCCCTACCTTAACATTTCTGTATCACGCACGCCCAACGACTTCTAGAACGTTCAGTGATATGTGACATGAGCTGATAATCACAAATTCATTTTAGAATTGACAGATTACAACCCGAGAGAAATCAACTGGATGGTCATCATTTTTCATGGTTAAACATTTGAATATTAAGAGTGCAGAGAAGTGACTGTGCACGTATAAATCCAGCAAAAACGTATAACTCGTGTCCATGACATTATAAAGCAGTTAATAAATCAATGAATAGGTGTAAATTGATCTATAAATGTTCTTATGACACAGTCAAGCATTAAATGGTATTGATGATGGTGGTAGTCCACCATAAAGAAGCCCAGGTCTAATACTATTACTAATATCTGCAACCAAATCTGCTACACTGTGAGCTATGCTGTCAGTTAGCAGTTAGTCAATAGCAACAGGTAGTAATAACAATTATTATTACATTAAATTAAATATATCTGCGACAGTGCCCGTTCACAATTAAATTAAAACAGACAATATTATATAAGTATGACAATGTCTATTAATCACTGTGTTAGAGTCAACAAGGTTGGTTCACACCTACTTATACATATGAGCAAGTAATGCATAAATCAAACATTTATTACACATATATATTAAATCTGACTTTAAAATTATCTTTATAAACATTATCAGAATTCTTATTATGCTTTTTCCTAATTTCACAAAAGACGATTCCTCTACTTTTAGGACACAAAAAACTCACTAGACGACTTAAAATTGGCGTTCATTAATAAGAAAAACATTGGTAATAGGTTTATCAGAAGAAACACCAATATTCTTGCTGCGTCTGTAAGAGCATATACCATGAGAAAACCTCGACACATGCTTACCCCAATGACAATTGAAATATTATATCAAGGTTCAAACTTGGAATGCTGATATAATAGATAGACCCTAGTGTGAATATTAAAATTTAATCTCTACTTCGTGAGTTGCAATCAGTGGCCTCTATTGTTACAGTCTTCACTTCATAACAAGTACATTTTAAAGCTTATGCCATGATTACATACAGTAGTCGAACAAGTAAATATTGATTGAGATTGAAAGCTGGCATTGATGACCAGAAGAAAATGGTTTAGTGTTTTCTTCATCAATAGTGTGTTTAAAACAATAACGATATAAATAATAGAGGGTGGGAGTAACTTTATCATCACTTATTAACGCTGATAGGCAGTGGCACGTAGTTAGGGGGGAGGCAAAGGGGGCCAAATGTTGATCCATAAGTAAAAAAAAGAAAAAAAGAAAGAATTGTTCTACTAAAAGAGAATTGTCCTAGTCAGAATGAAGGCTGTAGGCTTACATGTACTCAAAAGTGCCTGAAATACCATCTCCTGCAATCAACATTTTAAAAATGTTCTGGGGGCGGACCCCCATACCCCCGCCTGTTTTTCACCCCTCTCCTTTTATATATCTTGGTAGCAGAGAACAACGAACAAAAATGTCGCCTTTATGCATGGCGCCTGAAACAAAGATTGCAGAGCCGAGAGGTGGGGGAACGTAGGGTGTGGAGAGGGAGGCGGAGGAACCATTAAAATATTAAGTCATCCACCATTTTGCACAGTTTGCTGTTTTTGGCCCCCCTGTTAAAAAATCCTGGTTACGCCATTGCTGATAGGGTCTATGTCTCCCTGGGTACTGTCGGAACGTACCCTGGTAACTATCTGATATGGTTAGGGTTAGGGTAGGGTCAGGGTTAGGGTTAGCGTTAGGGTTAGGGAGTAGGCGTAGGCGACTCCCTAGACTCGTTAGTGGACTAGGCGAGGTACGGTCTGGCATATTAGATAGTATCAGGGTACGTTCCGGCAGTACCCAGGGAGACATAGACCCTGGCAGCCTTATTAACGGGTTTTCGTGGCCACAGTTTTTTAATCTAGAATATACTACAATTGTAAAATCAAATATAATTATGTGAAATCACGCAATGATGGGTGCATTTCTAGTAAATTTCTTTAGGTAATACGTATAACAGACTCAATTCCGTCTGTTTACAGTGACTATAATGAATGATAATAATAATAGAGATGAATCCTCATCACTATAATTAAGAACTATATCAAGATGAGACGGGATACCAGAGAAGTGTTGCCGAAAGGAGGTGTTGATCCTAACCGCTGAGCGCAGTTCCGCGGCAAGGTGCACGCGACGCGGGACTGTCCTACAACAGTATGCAGTGCTGGCAGCTATGGATCCGTGCGCCGAATGCACTAGGCCGGCGCACGGATCCATAGCTGCCACAGCGAACAGTCCGGATTCTTACGCGGGGGACACAGAGGGCGGAGATTTGGGACGTGGAGGAACTCGGCGACTTAGATGGGGGTCGTAACAGATGGGGGGCGAGAGCAAACTTTTGATTTCGCGGTGGTTCCATTTCCGTGTGGTCTTAGGCGTTTTCACTAAGTTGTACAGCGCCAATGACGCCTGTCCTATGTAACCATTGATAGTGAACATCAGAGAGATCGCACCCGATTGCATGAAGAAATGGATGAGGATGTTGTACGAGAGAGTATGCGCATTATGTGGCTATTCGTAACATCAACTGATTCCTCTGCGTATTGCTCTGCTCTGTGCTGCAACGTCATGACAGCAGTACCTACGTCGTGTTGAAGGCAACTGTCGACAGCCGTCATGTTGAAGATGTGGCGACGTTGTTTTGCCTGAAGTTCTTCATGTAACGTGATGTTGTGCACACAATCGCCAACTCCTCAATATGATAGATTTGGATGACATTTGTCACGCGTAGTTAGTTTTTGCTGAACGGCGGCGTATATGACCGCCAGAGAAGTGTATAACTGT